GTGTGCAGTTCTGGCCTGAGATGTTTCTGCTCCGTGGGAACTTCCAAATTAATTTCCTTCTTTCCAGTACACTTTTCGTGTTTTATGAACATGTGTGCAGCACTTGAGGACCCATAATGTACCGACCCCCCTCCCCCCCACACACTTTTCGCTTCAAGGTCAACTATGCTAAGCCGGCCGATCAAAATCCGGTTCCCATTTCCCCGACTTCGGTGGCTGGTTCTGACAATGTTCCTGTTCCTCCACCCGAGGCGTATGCTGGTCAGGCACCAAGTACTCCACATCATGCCTATCTTGGCCCCGATGTTGCGCCGCTTGCCACGGAATCGCGTCCCGGTGTTGGTGACACTCATAGCGCAGCCGGGCCAGGCGGTTTGATTGCTCGCAGACCCGAGGATCCCGCATGGGCACCGGATTACTATATGGAAAAAGGTACTTTTTAATAAAAAAAACAACAACGGGTGTTACATCTACGCGATATTCATAATGCATCTTTTTGGTCCGCTGAATGTGAACCATACGTTTTTGCAATGTTTCAAATGTTGATATCTGGAAAATTCTATCCCTCTTGGTTGCTTCAATCATGTACGTAGATATACGTTGTTGCAACATTGACGGAACTATTTAAAAGTTCACCAAAATATTCTCATTTCGGAACGAACCAGCATCGTGGAGTTATCGGAATAATTCTGTCATGTGTGTGGATTAGATGCTTCTCGCAGTTCAGATTTCATTTGAAATTACTTTCCCAGATGCAAATGAGACTATTGTGGCAGTGTTCACACGAGAGAGAGAATAAACGGATGCCGGATCGGCATGCGTATTGAGTAACAGACAAGAACCACGGAACCGGTTGCGTGCCTTCATCAAATTTTGTCGGGCCATTCATGTTCTGCCTATGATTAAGGCATTTAAAGCGATCTTATTTTACTGTCATGTTAATCCATACGTTTACCAGATCAGGAGAAGCGGCGTTCGTCAGTGGTGCCCTACTTCACCATTCCTGTTCAATTTCGTCGTGGACGAAATTATGGGAAAGCGTAGAGATTAAATGGCCAGCTGGAGAAAGTCTGTGCCGTTTAGAGTACGCCAATCACATCGTCTGTCTGTTCGAATTTATGAAGGACACACAAAGCTCACTTGATAGATTAACAACTGCTGTTACTCCATTCGGTGTTTGTTTTGCACCTTCATACCGATTTACAAGAAAGGTGACAGATCCTCTTATGAAAACCGCAGAGGAATTAGTTTAATCAACATCGTCTCTAAACGTCTCGCCGGTATCGTACTCCGTCGATTGTCTGCCGCACTTAAATGGTGCACGCGTGAGAACCAGGCTGGCTTTAGACCTAGTAGAGGTTGTACCGACCACGTCTTCACTCTTCGCCAAACTCTGGCACATCGAAATTCTTTTCGTAGACCCACCATCTCTCTCTTCCTGCATCTGAAAGCGGCTTTCGACTCAATCGGCCGCTGTAAACTCGGGGCTGCCTTTCTCTGAAAGATGTGCCCGAAAAGGTAATTTCAATATTACAATCCCTNATCTGAAAGCGGCTTTCGACTCAGTCGACCGCTTTAAACTCTGGCGCTGCATTTCCCTGAAGGGTGTGCCCGAGAAGTTTATTTCAATATTACAATACCTGTATAATAATAGCCGAAGCAGAGTCCGAGCTTGCGGCACTTTTTCACCCGAGTTCACCACAGAAAGTGGTGTTCGACAGAGTTGCCATCTCTCTCCATTTCTATTTAACTTTGTTATAGATTTAATTCTCGAAACAGCCCTATCCTCGTGCGGGGATAGCGGCATCAATTTACTCCCAGGTCACAGGCTGTCTGATCTAGCGTATCCACACGACATTGTGCTACTACGTGAAGATCCATGTAAGCTACAAGCTTTTCTGGAAAGTTTAAATGCTATTGTAGTCATGTTCGGTATGTGTCGTTTGGCATTTGCTAACTTGAGATATTTGTGGCATGGTTGCGACATCCGGCTATCTGTTAAGGGTCGAGTGTATGCTGCAGCAGTTCGGCCAGTGCTGCTTTGCGGTACAGAGACTTGACCATTACGGGAACAGGATAAAAATAGATTGTCGGTGTTCGAAAAATCGTCTTCTACGTCGCATTGCACGGGACTGGTGGGCTAACGGGAAGAACATTGTTGAGGTCAGGCATAGAGTTTTAGGCAGTCGCGGTCGCCCACTGGAGCAAGTAATCGACCTCCATAGATTACGTTGGTTGGGGCATGTATTACGCATGTCACCAAGTATTTTGCCACGACTTGCGATGTTTGCCGAGGCAGGTAGCGGTTGGGAAAGGGTCAAGAGTGGTCAGACGAAGACCTGATATGGGTATGAAAATTCTAACCAGGGGACTAGGTCACGTAGGCCCCGTTAGACTCCCAGGCTGGGGAACTCGGAATGATGATCACCGATGGTTAGAAACTGAGTGATATGGCTGGATGTAGCAAACAGTGGCGCTCATTCATCTACTCATTATTCTGGTAACCTAGTCTATATAAATGCACCATCTTTCGTTTGAATCAGCTGTCAACATTCTAATCTTCATTCTGCTCTTTTATCCAAATGGGGCATCAAAAGACAGCAATGAAAACGGGCGTACGAAATCGCACGGTAATGGTTACCTTTCTCCAGTTACGAACAATTCCTCCCCATCTTGTGCTTTATCACTTGATTTGTGTACATTGTGAGCCTGACAGCGATCAATGAAATTCGCGTCACTTGCCTGTTCTTGCTCACAAACTGAAATCCACTATTTCTCACATGAAATAAGTAATCCGGTTGTGAATGTTTCCAACCGAGTCATAACCCGCGGGAGGCCAGTGCTGAGATGAACAGGGTCTGTGGCCCGCAACAAAAGCTCGCAAAGACGGATTGTGCTATATCGTGTAAATGGAAAATGAAAAACGGTCTGATCAGCCGCTCGGTGGCGTAGTCGGTAGCATGCTTGAGTCCTGCTCATGAGGTTCCAGGTTCGATCCTCAGTTGGGTCGTTGGATTCGCACTTTGAAATTCAATCAAATCCTCTATTACTCACATGAAACTGAAATTAGTTCTTTCTACGACGCATTTATTCTCTTTATTGCTCCCTTAGTGGACGATAATTTTAATCACGGATCAACCCAACTTTCCATTCTTTCGGTCTATCAGACCTCTCTTTAACACCCACCAAAGGAAATGCTATTTTAAACAAGCTTATTACTAAGCCCCCTAATATCTTCTCTCTCAAACTGAGGGCACCAGTTTCGTCTAGTGATCACTGTCTCCTATGTCTTAGGCCAAAAGTTTACTCTCACTTAGTATACCCCGCTTTTATAANCAAAACAAATGAATTTTTAAAGTTTCAAGCTTGGATTATCCCATTCGATTGTTCAGAGGCACCAGGCACTTTTGATGGTCTTGGGTGTGGGTTTCACTCCTTGGGAGATCGTTAATTCCCCACGAGACAATGCATTCAGATGCGATGGAAATGTTTGTGATAACCAACAAAGAGAACTGGACAGCTGTTTCGTCCTGTTTGTGTATGGGTTTAAAGTCCCAACCCGACTGATCGCGGTTCGAGTCCTGACGGGGATACAAAAAGTACATACTGCTGACGAGTCTCAAGCAAGACGAAACAGCTGTCCAGTGCTCTTTGTTGGTTATCACAAACATTTCTATCGCATCTGAAAAACAAATGAACATAAAAATTTGGAACCTTTCCGCCGGTAAACTCCATCTCCTGAGAAAATCTCTTGCTTTTATATCTTCATGGTTTCCCGTTCGACAGTTTCCCTGTTCTGTTGAACATTTTACAGAAACAGCTAACGTGATCTTCAATCTATGCTGTCCTGTGGAGACAGTTTTTGTTCATACTGGCAGAATATGCTCTCAGCGGTCAAAAACTCTTAGAAGACAAAAATAACTATCGTTCAAGATACATTAAACAGCCACTGTCAAATAACACACTGCAAACCAGGGCAGAGATCAAAAGAATGAATGCTTTATTTGCAAAACAGGTTCTGGGAGCTGGAAGACGGCTATGACAAGAGATCAGATTGCTTTACGGACAGAAGAAACGGACATCGAACAAAATTATTGACGTGGACAGCCTCAATGTTGCATTCATTTATCTTTCGAATGATCTCTTGTCTCCGTACCTCACAGAGCACCTATCTGCCATAGACCCGGTCACCCATGAGGAGGTCTACCATCTTAAAACTACGACAACCACGAACACAGTTGGCCCCGGTGGTTTATCTTCCTCATTGCTCAAATATGGCGCTGGTTCAGTCACAGAGATGTTTATGTCCCCTATCAACCAATCCATTTACACATGTTCGATTCCGGATTCCCGAAGACCGTTCACCATTGTTCCCATTCCTAAATCCTCTTCATCTCCTGCATTTTATCTAAACGCTTTCTTCCTATCGCCACCACCTCCTCTGGACTCAAACTTGCGGAGCGCGCTATTCTCACCCGCTTGCAATCTGGTATTACTATTCCCGATGACCGCCTCCAGTTTGCGTCCAAGCCAAATAGATGCACTTTGGATGCCGTCTCTTCAATGATGCACTTCATTTGCAAATCTCTTTAGTTCTCAAAAGTCAGTTGTGTTTTCCTTGACTTTCGATTCCGTTCCACGATCTCTTCTGCTGCAAACGTTAGAGTCATCCCGTTGCCCCACCAATTTGTTGTCACGGTTGAGGGATTATTTCACTGGAAGGACTCAAAGGACAAAAGCAAACGACGCCAATTCAAAACCGTTAGTGAGTAACTCTGGGGTCCGTCAGGGTGCTGTGCTCTCTCCCTACCAATTTTCGACTTTCATCAGTGACCTACCCTCAGTCCCACAAGTATGCTGATGTGGTCGTATGTCAAGCCATCTCAAACCAATCGGACATAGAATCATTTTCGACAATTTGTTGCAAGTGCAATCATTTTCGAACCAATCCGGTCTCCGACTGAATACTTCTAAATGCTTTGAATGCATTTTTAGTCTTTCCCGATCCGAATACCCTCTGGAACCGTCAGTCATCAATTTCTTACCCGTCACCAGAACACATACCACGAAATACCTAGGAGTAACCATAGTTGGCAATCTACAGTGGTCCTCTCATGTGCTTGCTTGTGTTGGTAGACTGCGTCCCTCAAAAGATACTCAATGACCCCAGTCATCCACTCAATCCCGATTTATCTGCTTGCCGTTCCCACGCTTCAACCCGATCCAATTTTCGCTGCTTGCCCTCCAGCACAAACAATTATTGCAACTCAACGGTTCCCTATCTAGCTCGTATTCTCATTAACACGGTGAGGATCCGTAATGAACTAATTCTAAACTTACAAAGATGAACACCATTTTAAGTTTTACCATTGTAGCATATAAATTTTCATTTCATTTTTTATCCCATTGTAACGGTGAACACACACATTTTTGACCAAAATGTCACCTGCACAAGTCATCTATAGTAAAACAATAATCTAAAAAACACCACACATAGTGACTAGGTTTTCTACCAAAGTTATTATCCACGATTTCAGTTCCAGTTTCAACGACCATGCAATCGTGCAATTTCATGTGCTGGTTTTAGTCCCTGTCTTTTGGCTGTCTATTTAGATAAAAGGGGGGCGGAATGAAGATTGGATTGTTGAGAGAAGAGTCTCTAATCATCGGTTAACATAATCTCCGGGTCCCCATTCGGGGGAACCGTAACGGGACCTATGTTACCCAGTGTCTTGGTTAGGATTTTTATACGCCCCCCCCCCCCCCAATCCCAGGTCTTCGTTTGACCGTCCATGAACTTTCTCTAACAGCTACCTACCTCGGTAAATATCGCAAGCCATGGAAACCTATTTGATGACATGCGCGATTTCTGAAAACTATGCGCCTAACCTCCACATTACTTGTTTGATTTCTCCACCAGACTCGTGCAATACGGTGTAGACAGCGGTGTTCGAACACGATCGATAATCTATTCTCATCCACAGTGGTGGTGGTGGTCGAACACAAAACTGGCATGACCGGGACACTTTCTCACCTAGGTCGCGTTAAGCTCTCTGAATGAGGACCTCGGGATCAGGATAATCGATAGTTGGGAACACTGAGTGATACACCCGAACAGTAATGCGCATTCATCTACTC